ATAAACATAGGTATGCATGCGTCTTTATAATAGAATGACTTATAATACTTTGGTCATATACCCAGTAATGGGATTGCTGGCTCAAATGGTATTTCTATTTCTAGATCCTTGAGGAATGACTGAATGGTTGAATTGATTCAACACAATGGTTGAATTAATTTACATTCCCACCAATAGTGTACAGCATTCTTATTTCTCCACATCCTCTTCAGCATCTGTTGTGACTTGATTTTTTAATAATCACGACTCTAACTGGCATGAGGTAGTATATCACTGTGGTTTTGATTCGCATTTCTCTAATGACCAGGCATGATTAGCTTTTTTCTTATGTTTGTTGACCGCATAAATGTCTTCCATTGAAAAGTGTCTTTTCACATCCTTTGTCCACTTTTTGATGAGGTTGCTTGTTTCTTTCTTGTAAATTTGTTTTACTTCTCCATAGATTTTGGATACAAGCCCTTTGTCTGATGAGTAGATTGCAAAAATGTTTTCCCATTCTGTTGATTGCCAGTTCACTCTATTGATAGTTTTTTTTTTTTTTTTTTTTTTTTAGTTCTTGTGAGAGTTTGCCCTTTTTTGTTTTTCTTCTCCTAATGTTTAGCCCTCCTGAGGTTCTCTGAAAATCTGGGATTTTACCATGGCCCTCCTGCATTGGTATTTCTGATTTTTTTTCTCCTTATCTTGAAAGCTTTGCTTAGCTTTTTGGCTGTCAGTTAATCTACATACCAATCACCAAGTGTTCTCTGAAGGTCTGTTTCAGTGTTTTGAGGCCTGGCTGGCTGGTCTGTTTCCAGGTTTCTGGGGTTCACCCAGTTCCTGCTGTAATTCTTGGGTAGTGTACCAGGACTTTTCCACCTTGAAAGACTGCAAACCTCATTTTTTTTCTATTTACCGTTGTGAGACTTGTGACAACTCTGTGTAGCTTCTCTTTTCTCACTTGTGAATAGCAAATGCTTTAATGTAAAAAGAAGTCACACTGAATGTCTTGTGTGCTTCCTTCTCTGTGATCATTAGTAGTTAATTTTGGCTGCCTTGGTAACTTTCCAGTGCATTTTAAAGATTAAAACGCAACTTTAATCCAGCAGTTTTAATTGCTTTTGTTAAATGGCTAGTCTGATAGAAGCTAATCTGCTATTGTCAGAATGATAACCTTTTGCTGTTACATTCCTCAATCATTTAGTGTGAAATAATGCTACCTCATTGTATATGATGTCCAAAGAGAAGAGTTAAGTATATTTTTCTGATAACATTCATTTCTTACAGGTTGCTTAGCCAGACAATGAAGGATCATCTAGTAAGAGTGGCAAATGAAGCTGAATTTATCCTGAGCAGGCAGAGAGCAGAAGATATTCACAGACATGCAGAATTTGAGGTATGTTACACATGTGGTTGGTGTGAGGAACTTACTGTTTTTTAATGATAATCATGGGAAATTGTCCAGGTAAAATAACAGGTCCAAAGAAAGAAAAAATTTAATATTATCAAAAAATTAAAATTTAGGTTTATGGGAGAGTCATGGGGGTTCTGGGAAGATATTATTGTCTCTGTAGCCCTCTTGTCTCAATTGCAGTTGAGCTACCAGAGAAGCTTGATAAGAGAAGCCTCTTGCTTGGCTGACCTAATTTTAATAATCAGAGCTGCGTCTTGGCTCTGATAGTTTTCCAGTAAAGAAAACTGGTGAGTAGGTTGGCCCTCTCTGTGCAAAACAGATCTAGTTAGCCAGAAATAAAAATCTGTATTGCAAAGGTAAGATTGTCCAGGTTTCTAGAGAGGAACTGAACACACAGGTGTGAAATTTCTCTACCCTTAGAGTTTGAGAGCATAATAGTATTTGTAGCTGAGAAAATGAGGGAGCATACGCCTCTCTCCTTGGATTCTCATAGGAGAGGACTAAGTAATAGACCTATCCCAGGACCTTTGCTTATCTCAATAGTTGTGCCTGAACATGTATAAGAAATACAAATTCCCAGAAGAAATTAATGGTTTTGTAGCTATAGAAATGACCCAGATTCACCTAAGCTGAACTAAACAATTTGACAAACAGTACATTTGCTATAGAATTGGAAGAATATTAAAAAGCACTGTATGGCTTCTAACATATCAAGAACAGATAAACTCATATGTTGCTGACATTTTTTCTGGTACATTAGAAAAGATGAAAAACCTTCCAAGTGAACTTTATACAACCAGCAAACCTGAAAATTATTCTAGAAAAATAAAACTCTAGAAGACCAATTTCACTTAAGAATATAAGTACAAAATTTAAACTATAACTTCGAATAATATAATTCATCAATATAAAGAATTATATAGTATGATGACTGAAAATTTTTACTGGAATTATAAAATGGTTTATTTTAGGATATCTACCTGTAAAATAAGTTATATCAACAAATTTAAAATAGAAAAAAATGAAGATATCAGTACATATAAAAACAAAGCATATCATGTTTTTAGCAGCCAGTCCTATTAAAACTTCAAGAAAAAGATTTATATAAGAAAACAATACAAATATGGTAAAGACTATTAAACATCATTTTAAATGGTTAAAGTCATCTCTTTTTTCAGGAAAAATGGGTGATACCTACTACACTGTTGTTAACATATTTTTTGATGTTCTTACAAGTGTAAGATATAGCTAATATAAATGCTAGAAAAGAAAGAAATAAGATTACTTTCAAATTTCTAATTCTGTGGTCTAGGACAATCTAATTCCTGTGTCCTGAGGTGTACCTGGATCTTGAACATTTTTCTACTAGAATTAATAAGAGAATTTGTTGAGGGTATTAGGATTGTTAGATATCAGATAGTTACGCAAAAAATTAATAGGTTTTCTTTTGACAGTAACCAGCTAAGAATGAAAATCAGAAATACAATGTATTCACAGATATGACAAAAACAATGTTTTGGGGCCAAATTCTGCAAGAAAAGTATACGTGCTCTTTGGAATGAAGCTACAAAATCTTATTTAAAAAATATGATAAAATATAAACTAATTCCATTCTGGATGGATAGTCTATCTTGGGTCCTTGGGGTGTGTGTGTGTGTGTGTGTGTGTGTGTGTGTGTGTATGAGAGCAAATCAGACTTCTGTTTGAAATAACTTGAGACTTTCAGGAAAGTTTTAAGAATAAAGTAAGAACTCCTCTATTCACCATTCTCCCAGATCTAGTGATTGTTAAATTTTTACTACATTTGTTCTCTTTCTCTTTTTGCTTTGTTTTTCTGAATTTGAGAGTAAATTAAAGTCAGGATTCCCTCGATTACCTTCTACCTTGAAATTTTTCAGTGGGAATTTTCTAAGCACATGTCTTAATCTGGTACAGTTATCAAAATTAGAAAATTAACATTGGCAGGAAGCTGTTAATGTGATAACAGTACTTGTATTTTTCCAGTTTTCCAACTGGAAAAAAGATACCATAGGGTCTTTTCAAGCCAAAGAGAGAAAATTTTATGTCACAAAAATGCTTGTTTTTCTCAAGTTAATATGTAAAATCAATGCAGTATCCATTAGTTAAGCACACCATTAAAATAACAGTAGAGTTGATTTGGCATTTAAATATCCTTTATAACAAATTTAAGATGTACAAATATTATATTTGGATATTTAAATATTTAGTTAATGTTGGAAAATAAATACTTTTATGAGATCCTAAAATTTGTGAAAAAGTCATGAAGATGTACTTGAGTCTCCAGATATTAAAACACTACTATAAAGACAGCATATATTAAAAATCTTCCAGATGAAATCAGCAATAGGGAGGAAGATGACATGGTAAATACTTTAGAAACGTATTTGGAAAATTGTAAAAGTAGAACTTGGGCATATGTGAGAATTTGGTAACCAAAATGTAGGCTCTTGAAAGTAGAAATATAAAAGTAGACATCTATTATTATATATAACATTAAGTAGTAGAAAGATATCATCAACACCTTGGAAAAACATAATATATATGACTGACAGATGATTAATATGTTCACTGTACTCGTGATTCTTTCATTTTTTTGAGAGGTTGTCTCACTCTATTGCCCAGGCTGGAGTGCAGTGGTACGATCTAGGCTCACTGCAACCTCAATTCAAGTGATTCTCCTGCCTCAGCCTCCTGCGTAGCTGGGAAAACAGGTGCGTGCCACCACGCCTGGCTAATTTTTATATTTTTAACGGAGACGGGGGTTTCACTGTGTTGGCCAGGCTGGACGTGAACTCCTGACCTCAAGTGATCTACCTACCTCAGCCTCCCAAAGTACTGGGATTACAGGCTTGAGCCCCGTGCTCGGCTGTACTCGAAATTCTTAGAAGAAAAACACCCAATAGACAGAAACTCAGATGATATGAATTAGAAATTGACAAAAGAACCTAAAGTGACCAGTAAACATGAAAAGGATACACAAATATCCAAGAAAATGGAAATTAGAGAAATTATGATCTATCAATTTTCCATTCTTAGATTGTAAAAAGAATGATAATATACTGTACTGCTGAAGGGAATATGGGAGATGAAATGGGCAATGCTGTTCTTTTGTATTGCTAGCAGAATATACATTTTTGGTCTTATGGGAAAGCAATATGGTCGAAACTATTAAGATAATTACATTGACACCCATAAACATGCAAATGCCTATTTACCAAGTAATCCTATTTTTGTGAATATATGTTAGGAATAAAAATAATATTTAAAGATGGGTACACATGGCTATTTTTTGCAGTATTGTATAAAAATTTAGCAAAATAAAAATTACAGAAAAAACAAATATTTTTTAACTAGAGGAAAATTATTTTCTGAAAGAATAGGAGGCTAATAAATTAAGAACATATTAAGAGGTTGATGGCTTCCATTTTTAAACATGAGTTTTGACATAGAATTCACAAAGCTATTTTAGTTAATTCTTTTCAGTGAAATCATGTCTTTTTAAAAAATTATTTTATTTTTAATATTTATGAATACATTGTAGGTCTATATATTTATGTAGTACGTGAGATACTTTGTACAGGCATGCAGTGCATAATAATCACCTCATGAAATATTGGATATCCATCTCTTCACGTATTTATTTTTTGGGTTACAAACAATCCAGATATACCCTTTTAGTTGTTTTAAAATGCACAATTAAATTATCATTGACTATTGTCTCCTGTTGTGCTATCAAATATTAGATCTTATTCATTTATTCTGATTTTTTTTTATACCTGTTGATCATCTCCACCTCCCTGTGATACCCTTACCACCCTTCCTAGCCTCTGGTAACCATCCTTCTACTCTCTCTCTCTATGATTGGAATTGTTTTGATTTTTTAGATCCCACAAATAAGTGAGAACATGCACTGTTTGTCTTTCTGTGCATAGCTTATTTCACTTAACATAATGATCTCCATTTTCATTCATGTTGTTGCACATGAAAGGATCTCATTCCTTTTTATGGCTGAATAGTACACCCTTGTGTGTAAGTGCCACATTTTCTTTTATCCATCTTTTGCTGGACGTATAGATTGCATCCAAATCTTAGCTGTTGTGAACAGTGCTGCATCACACATGGGAGTACAGATGTCTCTTAAATATACTGATTTCCAGCAATCCAGTGGGATTACCGAATCATATGGTAGCTCTATTTCAGTTTTCTGAGGGACCTCCAGACTGTTCTCCATCGTGGTTTTTACTAATTTATACTCCATCAATAGTGATGAGATTTCCTTTTTCTCCACATCCTCGACAGGACTTGTTATTACCTGACTTTTGGATACAAGCCATTTTAACTGGAGTGAGATGATATCTCATTGTAGTTTTGATTTGCATTTCTCTGATGATCAGTGATGTTGTTTTGTTTTGTTTTTGGAGACAGAGTCTTGCTCTGTCACCCAGGCTGAAGTGCAGTGATGTGATCTTGGCTCATTGCAACCTCCACTGCCCTAGTTCAGGCGATTCTCATGGGTCAGCCATCCAAGTAGTTTGGATTACAGGTCTGTGCCACCACACCTGGCTAATTTTTGTATTTTTAGTAGAAATGGGGTTTCACCATGTTGATCAGGCTGGTCTCGAACGCCTGACCTAAGGTGATCCACTTGCCTAGGCCTCCCGAAGTGCTGGGATTACAGGCATAAGTCACAGTGACCGGCCCTTTAACATCTTTTCCTTCTTTCTTTCTTTCTTTCTGTCTTTCTTTCTTCTTTTCTTTTCTTTTCTCTTTTCTTTTCTTTTTCTTTTTTTTTTTTTTTGAGACAGAGCCTCACTCTGTCACCCACACTGGAGTGCAGTGATGCGATCTTGGCTCACTGCAATCTCCACCTCCCTGGTTCAAGGAATTCTCATGGCTCAGCCACCTGAGGAGCTGGGATTACAGGCCTGTGCCACCACACCCAGCTAATTTTTGTATTTCTA